AGCAGAGACGTTACCGAGAACAAATTCTGGCTTGAATGTCATGTACACTAATACTGACACGTTCCTTGATAAGAGGGAGGAGTTTGAAACACTACTAAGAGTACACCAACCAGATATTGTAGGAGTTGTAGAACTGTTGTACAAGAACAGGAGAATCGACCCAGAGGAATGTGAGTTCAGTATTGCTGGATATGACTCATTTACGAACCTAACTCAAGAATCCTGCAGGAGGGGTGTGGTTATCTACGCTAGGCAAGACCTTAGAGCCAGCCAGGCGAGGGTACAGGGAGAGGATGTTTTTGAAGAGTCCAAGTGGTGTAAAATTAAATTAAAGGGAGGGGACTTACTTATCGTCGGGTGTATCTACAGATCCCCGAACTGTGGCCCACTAAATCAAAGGAACTTAAGAACCTTAATAAACAATGCGGCGATGCTCAACCCCAGCCACCTCCTTATCATGGGGGACTTTAACTATGGCGACATCGACTGGAGAAACGAGTCAACCCCGAATGACTTGAATAATCCTGCTACTCTTTTTGTAGAAACTCTGAGAGATAATTTTCTGTTCCAACATGTGAGAGACCCGACACATTACAGAGGGGAGCAAACACCCAAGCCACTTGACCTCATCATAACAAACGAGGAGGGTATGGTGGCCAAACTGGAACACCTTGCCCCAGTTGGCACCAGTCACCATACAGTGTTGTCATTCAGATTTAACTGTTACCTAGTTCAAGATAAGGCCAGGCCAAGGTGCAAATATTACAAGGGAAATTACAATGGGATGAGGGAAGAGATGAGGGGTATCAACTGGCCTGACTTATTAAGGTACAAGAACGCAGACACTACGCTGAATATCATAACTAGTAAAATGACCCATTTGATCGATAAATATATACCCAAGACCAAACCCAGTGCTTCTAGGAATACGAGGGGATCCCTACACATGAACCATGCGGCGGTCGACAAAATTAAGAAGAAAACCCAGAAATTCAAGACGTGGGTTGGGTCAAACGATGAGCAAGACAGGAGGATGTATGCAAGAGCCAGAAACCAAGCAAAGGCAGAGTGTAGGAGGGCTGAAAAGGAGTTCCAGAGGCTGGTTGCACGCGAGGTCAAGTCAAACCCAAAGGCGTTTTACCGCTATGCAAAGTCGAAATTGAAAACGCGAGTAGGAGTATCAGACCTGAGGCTTGAAGATGGTAGTTACGCAGATTCTGACCAGGATAAAGCTGAGGCATTGAACAGCTTCTTTTCCTCAGTGTTCACAAGAGAGGATGCAACTAACCTTCCTGCGTTTGAGGACAGACGGTTCGACACAGCACTGACCCACATTGTGTTCACAGAAGAGGGTATTAGAAATAAACTGTCCAGGCTAAAGGTCCATAAGAGTCCTGGACCTGACATGGTGCATCCTAGAGTGCTAAGGGAGCTGTGCAACGAGCTTGCAGAGCCCCTGAAGATTCTGTTTTGTAAATGCCTGGATGAACAAATGGTCCCCAGTGAATGGAAAGTGGCTTATGTGAGTCCTATCTTCAAGAAGGGCGATAGGCACTCCACGAACAACTATAGACCGGTGAGCCTGACCAGCATAATATGTAAAGTACTTGAGAGTATTATCAGAGATGCAGCGATGGAACATCTACTACGAAACAACCTTGTAAAAGATTGCCAACACGGTTTTATGCCGGGGCGCTCTTGCTTGACACAATTGCTCAAGGTATTGGATATTTGGACCCATATTCTAGAACGGGGTGGTAATATCGACAATATTTACCTAGATTTTGCCAAGGCTTTCGACAGTGTACCCCACGAAAGGCTGAAAATCAAACTGGAAGGGTACGGAATTCGGGGAAATGTCCTAGCGTGGATAGAAGACTTTCTACATGACCGCAAGCAATGTGTGGTGATTAATGGCACGAAATCGTCATCTGTACCTGTAACAAGTGGGGTACCGCAGGGTAGTGTATTGGGCCCGCTGTTGTTTGTTTGTTTCATAAATGATATGCCTGACGTTGTACACTCCTCCATACAAATGTTTGCCGATGACGCCAAGTTATTTCGGGAAATTAAGAACCAAGCGGACTGTGAAGAGCTGCAGAAGGACCTCTGTGGGCTCCAGGAATGGTCGAAGGAATGGCTGCTGAGATTCAATGTCACGAAGTGTAAGAGGATGCACCTGGGGCGTACCAACGGTAAGGAGGCGTACCATATGTCCCAACGGGATGAAGAAAATGTACTAGTTGAGACTGTGTGTGAGAAGGACCTAGGTGTGTATGTTGACAATGAGCCGAAGTTCTCGGGCCATTGTGAGAAGAAGGTAAATCAGGCAAATAAATTATTGGGTCTTATAAGAAGGTCGTTCAGATATCTAGACGGTCCGTCCCTCGTGACGATCTTCAGGAGTGAAGTGCTTCCCCATCTGGAGTACTGTCACCCCATCTGGTCCCCGAGATATGCTAGGGACTGTCAGTTGGTTGAAAATGTTCAAAGGAGGGCCACCAAACTGGTGCCTGCACTTCGGCATCTCAGCTACCCTGAGAGATTGGAGCGCCTGAACTTGCCTAGCTTATACTACAGACGGGCAAGGGGGGACCTAGTTGAGGTTTATAAGCATCTCAGGGGGCACTACTCAGTTGAGTGTCCTTACTTGGAGCTGGCGGACGCTCGCCCCACAAGGGGTCACAGCTCAAGATTGAAGAAGCCGCAAGTCCAGAAAACCGTGAGGGCAAACTTTTTCGGAGTGAGGGTTGTAAACTCTTGGAACAATCTACCAGAGAGTGTTGTGACGGCACCGAGTGTGAGCTCTTTCAAGAGAAGACTTGACCAACACTGGAGCGGGTTCAGATACATTCAGGAGCCGGTGCATGCCCAGTATTTGCCAACAGTGCGTGACAGAGATGTGACCGATCGCCCGGGCGGCTAGCGAGCCGACCTTTTGGTGAAGAATATAAAGGAAAAGAGACGTGACCGATCGCCCAAGCGGCTAACAAGCCGATCAGTGGCGAAGAGGATAAAAGTAAAAAAAAGTAAAAGTATGAAAACGTTAAGTCAGCGTAACTGTGAATATATCGATAAAGACATTACACCAGCAATAATTCTAAACGTAGTGTCATGAACCTCAAGACTGTGTGAGGATTAAGTAGTGACCTTCTCGTATTCGCTTGAATTTCTGAGTAAATTGTTGGCTGGCCGACCTAGATGTATCGACGATCGCATTAGCGAGGTCATTACTAGAGTGAAATTAAAGTCTCTCCGAGGGCCATTTTCGAGGCACTCATATGACTCGACGTAATGCTTGTTTACTGTACTTTATTGAAATCATTCAAATCAAGTATATTATCTTATTTATTACACGTACAAATGTTTATGCTCTTAAAAAGTTTGTTTCCTCTGTCATTTGGCATCATCTGCCATAGCTATAACTTCCAACGCTGAGGAATTAAGGAATTAGTCATGGCCCCTGACAGTCTACATGCCTTCTAACTTACATTTGCCTACAAATCTAAAGTTCTACACCACCTATATCCCATTAACCCATTTTTCACTTGTTCTCACCTCTTTATTCCCGAAACCACACCCCCTGGTTAGGTCAAGTATGTATGAGATCATCTGCCTAAAATCCAGTGTGACCGTGAACCTGACCTTTGTCGTCTCGCGGGACCAGTCAGGTTCTCCTTTGTGTCAAGTTCATTTGCTGGATGGGGAAAGAGTACCATCCACTCTTTTTTTTAGTGGGTCCAAATCACTGTATCGCCTACATTTAACCCTCTAATAATATAAATAAGCACTTGAACAAAGTACGATAACATATAATACGTCATGACTGCGAGATACTGTATGTATAGTATTTCCTCTTCATATTTAAGCTGTACAGTATATCTATTAATTTCCGGCAGTAAACATTTTACACTAAGAACTGGCGGATACACCAGTGAAGTTCACAAGACAGGCAATATAAGTTAAAAACTGATGTAAAATCTCTCTGGGCCCCGCTGGTTGCTTGGCATGTTATCAAATATTTAAGAATAAATATTGTGTTCTAGTACAACAGCGGTTGTACAGCCAAGTAAAATAAAAAAAATCTATTAGTTTAAAATATATTATGAATCCCTAAGCGCTATTGAGCATTGCTTTTCAGTGTTTTAAAATAAGTTTTACGTCATATTAAGCCACGTGAACACTTTGATAATACATTTAAGTAGGACAACGACACCTCGTAACCTTGGTAGCTAGCTGCCTTATAACGCTTTGATTTGGGTTTAAATATTTATTGATTTCATTTAGTGGTTATTGGTAATAATTATAACGCTGTAACGCCGAAGTTATGCTACCCAATAATTGCAATATTATGATATTATAAACCAAAATAACCACAGTACGAACATTGTTACGAAACGTCAGTTCATACAAGCTGGACAGTAATCTGGGAAACATACCACACTGTACTTTTTACTTGTTTTTCGGTCACGTGATAGATAATTGCGCACTGGTAATATTTCTTCTCATTATTAATTCGTTTTCTGTGAAATTAGTTGGTTCCAATATGGGTGGGGTACGTCAGATAGGCTCCTCCCATCACAACATCCTTGAGGAAGCGAAAACGGGGAATTCAAATAATCTATTTTAGTACTCCTGCAGTTTTACACTAGCTGTTATACTGTTACATTTGATGAGAGGAGTCCACTTAACTTTATGTACAGTTACAGGCATTGCTTTTCATTTAGCAGCAGTTAGGTATGACAGTCAAATGACGTAAAAACACCTTGAACTCTGAGCATGTTTGCGCATGCGCCCTGATCAGCTGTTAACAATAGACGGGTAAACCTGATACACCAAAATACGCTGTATTGACTCATAGCTTAACACCATTGAGTTTAAACCGGTGTGGACAGTAGCAAAAAACAAATGCATGATGTATAAAGGTTCTAAATATATTATTGTCTATTTAAGGCCCTCTATAAATAATAGATTAGCGCCAAAGTCTTATTTGTTTTAGTTTCTTTATGTTGTTAAATTGAGAAGAGATGCGGAAGGCCAGAATAAAGGACGCACAAAAGTTCTGATACGTAAATCATGAGAAGGACACTTCAACTGTAATGAAGACGCTTGAAACATTGTAAGGAAGGCTGTGTGAGGTGTACAGTATGTTGGAGCTTGAAGTTTATCCAGAACAGTCACTGAGCTCAGAAAAATGGGACTTTGTTTTAGGTAAGTGGCAGTATCCAAAATCACTATCGTCGTGTTCATTGTTTACGAAAACAATGTAATCTTTGCATACATTGTAATGGAAAGTTTATCTAAGTTTTAAGCAGGGAACAGTGCTACTTAAGAAGACGTTTGGCAGTTGATAAGGCAATGTATGAGAACACCTCTATCACCAGAAGGAGTTGTTCGATTTTGTTCATTTTTTCCACAGATGTTCTTATCATTATAGTAAGTATTTTAAAAGAGGCGACATCTACTAGAACCTATTAGAAGCTGACCTAACCAACCAAAGAAACCCACCTAACCTTACCTAACTTCCTAGCCTGGGGTCGGACCCCCCGCCATATTAAACAAAAAGTACTTATTTTGATATCTGGTATCAATGAAAGCAAATTTTTTGAAGCATCATCTTGTAATTTACATTTTTAGGGTTATTAATCAGTTTAACACATCTTTAAATTGCATAGAAGCACTTACTCTTAGGCAATTTCTACCTCATATATACATTCCTCAACCCTTGAAGCCTCTTGGAAATGCATTACTTTCAGAAAAATCGCACAAGTGAGGAACACCTAGGAAATTAGATAAATAAATGTCCACCCGTCATTTCTTGTCTGGAGCCGTGAGGCATGTCACACTGCTTGCCTATGCTCCCTTCCTGGACTTGCATCTTTTTTTTTTTTAAACGACGCATTTCCCATGGAAACGAAGGTCAGATCTGAACAAAACACATCAAAATACATCATAAATCAAACTTCTTATGAAAAAATTCGAGGGTGTGATAAAACAAATAATTACCTTATTTAGAGCAAATAATTAATTTCTTCATGTACAAAACATGTAGAGATATCATTATCAGTTTTTCACCGTGTTTTACCCTAAATTTCTCTCATCGTTCATGCTCTGCCCACTACAGGTGATTTATGATCATAGAGAAAAAATAAATAAAAAAGACATAATTAAAATAAAAAGTTGGCGCTGCTTTTACAATGTTTACTATAATGATACAAAAATCTGTGGAAAAAATGAACTAAATTGAACAACTCCTTCTGGTGGTAGCGGTTCCTCATAAAATACCGTTGATAGATAAATGATTTATACGTACATATTTTAATAATTTTCATAAAATCAACCTAAATATACCCAAGCTGTGACCATACTGATGAATACATTGGATTAAAATAATAATGCTTGATATATATATATATATATATATATATATATATATATATATATATATATATATATATATATATATATATATATATATCATTAGCCCAATAAACACGGGACTTCTACATACAAGCATTATTATTTTAATCCACTGTATTCATCATTATGGTCACAGCTTAGGTATATTTAGGTTGATTTTATGAAAAATATTAAAAAACAGAGCAAGTTTTAAAAGACTCTTTTGTAGGTTTTTAATTAGGTGGATTGTTTTACTTCATTACTCTATATCTAACATCATCTTGATAAAATTACACGGGAAAAGGGAAACAGCGGAGCATCATGTGTGCTACAGGATGGTTGTGTGATGTATGTGTCTTCTTCTCTTGTGAGTTGTCTTTTTTTTAATTTATTTGTGGTAACAGGGAAATATTTTCATATAAATATGAATTGAGTACATTTTCATTTAGCTCTGCCAAATTATTTATTTTTTGTTTTATGACTAGATAAAACAAGAGGGAAAAATTGTTTTTACAGTGTGTTAGTCTATGTTGGTAAGTGATAGAAAACATATCCATGAAGGAGGGTGAAGAGGGAAAATGATGAAGTTAGTGAAGAATGACATTCTTAACAGCTTTTAATGATAAAAAACTTGTGAAATACAAAAATTGTCTCAATAAGAAATGTAAATAAACGTTAAAAATGTATAAGAGACAAATAATGTTGGGTAAAGCGCAGTCCGCAATAACATATGATGCGTGTGCAGGCTGAACAATGACTGGAGCATGTGGGGTTGCAAGTCTAATTTTCTTGTCATTACCAGATCCTTCAAGATTCATAACCAAATCAAGTGTTTACCGGTAAATACCCAATTTTTACCATACCGTTTTTTATGTAAGAACCATTCACCAGCATCCCACCTTATGTGTTGCTATACTGAGGCAGCTGCACAACTGCTTATTCTTACTTGCGCGACATAATTATGTTTACTCAATCACATTACACCCAATTTGCATCTGCGTTGTAAATAATGTGTTCACTAATACATTCGTTGTGTTATGAAAAGACACGTTATAGGAGAAGAGACTGTATTCTAATTTGTAGTTGCAAATCAAGAGCTTCCTAATGCTTGCAATGAGTTCTTCTCTCCGTGCTGTAACTCTGTCTTTGACATTCTGGCAATTAAAGAAAATATCCCAAAACTACAATATATTCTGTAATGTACAGGCGTCCCACTATTTACTGTAGGGTTGTATTGTGAAAACCCTAAAATATATTGAAATGATGTAAATCGGGACCCTTTTTATATTAGTTTCAATGGGACACGTTCCTGGCCAGTCCAACGCGGACATGTAACACAGAAAAAACAATCCTACATTCATTAAACAAATTAAACAAATTAAACAAGACTCAACACGTCAATACTATAATAACAAGCCCAGTCATCATCATGCCATAACCTCTGGGTTATCGACATTTAGTGAATGTATAACTTACACTACCCGAATTAGCTAGATATCAGCAACTAAGCATACCATATCACTGCCTTCTCACATGCTGGTAACATTCCCATGTCCTCCACACACCTCTGTTTTGCACAGGTCATCACCAAGTGCCCAGCCCTCAGTGAACTTAACCCCTGTATCTCACATGCAACAGACGTCTTAAAGGAGCTCTACAAATTACCTCTTATGTTCCCTTGTAAAAAGACGATTGCTATGATCGGTGACATCAATATGACACTGACAAGTGGAGGGAAGGATGCACTTCCCCAGTGTTTACATTCCGTGTCAATGAGTTTAGCCTAAAGATAACTACTGTGCTGTATTGTTAATGTGGATTTTGCCTAACATAAATTGGTCAAGGGGGTTAAAACCTATTTTTAAGGTGAGGGTCCCAGGCGATTTTCCTTCAGCACAAAACCCTCTAAAATATCTAGTTTAGGTGTACAAGAATAGTAGAGTACTGTATTAGCAAATGACCAACTTTTGAGGTGGTTCCCCTGAAATAAGGTACTACAGAAATCAGGAAATATTCCATAAAAAAATGAAGAAAATAATGTGGTGGAGTGAGGTAGGTAATGTTATCTCATGTTACCTCTACTTGAAATTCAGATACTGTACCCAGTAAAAGAAATTTTTCTGTGTCAACTAATATCTTATTCAGTACATCAGTAAAATTAACAAATGTATTAATTTTAGAGTACGTATCCCATTGTGAGTAGTAGAAATTCTAATTTAATCAACCCTCAAAATGGTGCAACTCTTTTTACTTATATTTTGTTTCTGACTTGACAGGAATGCACTTCAGTCAGGCTGTGGCGATAATACAGCACCAGGTCGGCACCATTCGTGGTGTTCAGGTCCTTTACAGCGACACCGTGAGTAACATCCAACAAGTTCATGATTTATTGTCTGAGTTCTGCTTGTTACTTTCTCTAAGTGGATTAATGCACATCTCTCACTTATCATTTCATATCATTTTCTTTCTCCTCTGTCTCTCTGTCTTTCCATTCTCTCTCAATCTCTCCCCTCTCGCTGTCTCTCCTTCTTTCTCGCTCTCCCCTTTGTGTCCCTTGATTTACGTCACACAAAAACTAGGAATGAAGGAAGGATATTAGATAGATATAAAATTAAGAAAATGTTTGCAAAAAAAAAAGTAGAAAATAATGTATTTTTCAAATGTATATCTGGTTATATTTCCTGTTTGTGCACAAAATTGATTAGATAATATTTTTGTAGAATGTACTGTTTATCCTTTTAATTTCCCTGTGTATACTTCCAGTGTGTGATAATACAGTACAGGGGACAGATATGATATCTTGTGTATTTAAATGTGCTAAAAAAAAAATTATGATGTTCCTGTTTTGTCTTTTCAGAACTTATTCTCTCAGGTACAATGTGTAAATAATAGCAGTACTCTTGAAAATCTTCCCATTATCTAGTAATTTTATGAATCTGAAATATCACCTACAATGTAGTTAGTTAAGTGCTGTGTTTATGTTTTTTTATTCAGACTTGCGAGTTGATCTCTTTACTGTTTGTCTTGGAAGATTTGTACAGTAGCTGTCTAAGGCACATATACAGTACTGTACTGTGTGTTTCATGAAGATGTCTTGGATAATTCAGAGATCATGATGACGTATGCTAAGACTAGAGTAAGGCACATGTTACTCTGTTAAGAATGGAGACATACTACAGTACTCAACAGTAATTTTAAAGAAAAATAAATTACAATAATTATTTACATCACGGTTAATATTATATAGTTTGATCTTTTGAGAAGCGTTGGAATAGTAGCTGTACTGCACTGTGCTGCTAACAGCTAAACATTTTGTATATTCAATATACTGTATTCCGTTCATGTGTTTCAGACCTTGCTGGAGACTGATCTCATCTTGAACCTCTCCAATGATGGTATTCAGTTGTACTTTGACCCCGTGTGTCAGAGGTTGAAGGTTATTGAGGTGTTTAATATGAAGACAGTCAAACTAAAATACTGGTGAGTCATCCTTGTGTACATCTGTATTGTGCTGCCATTAGCTGAGTAACAGATAAGTGTATAACATAGAAATTTTTATTATTTATAAGGGTAACAAATGTGTAATATTCACTGACCTTGAACGGCTGAATTACTTTGCAGTGGAATAGCTTTTAATTCGCCGGAGGTCGTCCCAAGCATTGAACAAATTGACCATTCGTTTGGGGCCACTCATCCTGGCATCTATGACTGGGAGCGCCAGATTCTTGCGATCAATTTCCCTGGGCTCTCCTTCTTCTTCTCTGTAGACCAGAAATACCAGGTGAGTTATATTAAAAAGATGGGCAGTCTATGGAATCCAGTTGTCACATTGTAGTATATTGCCAGAATGTTGAGGGTGGATTATGTGTTGTGGTCACTCTATAAGTGGTAAGGTTAGTATGAACGAGCCTGATGACTCAATTTAGTGTTCACGGTGAGTGGGTATAAAGCATTGTAATCACTGTGTGGGGTAAGTATTATCTTTGTATACTTTGTAAGGTTGGGGATATCGGGAAGTTGGTGTGGATTGTGTCAGTGATTTTTCAACATTTTATTGCCATTCCTTCCTTCATTTAATTATACCCTATATAAAAGTAGGACCAAAAGAAAGATAGTGTTTAGATGTCTAAGTGTTCCATTGTGCATTAGATATTGGGTATGGAATGTCTGAATGTAGATAAATACTCAAGTAACCGTTTTTTCCACCAGCCGTGCCTCAACAAGGGCTTAGGTTCACTACAGTTCCCCAGCGGAGCCTCCCCAGTGGTGTCCAAGATGCTCATATATAGTGGAAACAACCCCAATGACACCAGAGCACCGCCCTTGCCCTCTTCCTGTATACACAACCTTATACATCTAGAGTCTCTGTTGGTTCTCAGAGACATGGGCAAGACAAAGGGCCTGAAGCTCAACCTTTTCACTGATGATGGTAAGTGCATTACCAGTTGAACGCCTGCAACTAACATTAACACATATTGGATCTTTCCAAAAGCTAATTAACACTAGTTATGATCGTTATCTGTGCAGAAATTTACAAAGACATAGAGAACCTTAGAGAAAATTTATTTTCATGCAAAAGTTGGACCTGTTTCTGACCCTTTGACCTGAGAATTTGTCCTGTGTCTTTTTGACCATAGGAATTGCTCCCCATCCTGACCCTCACTAGTAAACAAAACCATTAATCTGAAATATATCCTTAAGATGTAGAGTGTTCAGTATGTACACATGTTGAGTAGATCAGCTCCCTTCATACTGACAACACACATTAGTGTTATGTGCACTGTACAGTATATACTTGCTCTTTGGAGACTAAACTTGTTCTGAGCATCTGGAAATGTTATTGATAGTTCACAATTTCTTGTACCCTCCCCTCCATCATCATCATTTAATGTCTATTTTCTATGCTTGTGTGAGTTATCCATGATTGCCTAACGACATGGTGTTCTGGTTACCATTAGGCAAATTTGAAACATGTTTTTCTGCTGGATGACATTCTTATTGCCAACTTACTTTTACAGAGTGGGAACAGGGCATTAAGTATGGACTACCAAGTGTCCTTCTATTTGAAAACCTGTTGGGCCTGCCACTTACCTCAGAAATACTTTGTGTCATTTCCTAAAATTTAAGGTTTTTAGTTGGTTTAAAGACTTGGAGAAACATAGACTGAGTTTTGCACAGGTACAGATGCCTTACCCAATTTTTCTGTACATTCAGTGAATATGCTGGGGGATTACTGGACGTGGGAGACACTTTCTCACCCTTACTCCTGTTGTTAGTGAGGTTGTCGTTGGGTTATTTCTTTCTTTTTGTTTCTGCTGGGGAGAAAATCATTCATCTATTTAGAATGACTTTTTATTGATCTTGTCAGTACTGTATATATTTAGTATTTGCATATTTTTCTAGTCATAAAATGAACTGCAGATCTTAATGATGAAGTGTAAAGTATTTGACCAAAAAGCTTTATGATAAGTTTTTACCATAATTATCATATGTACAGTTTTTATCATAACTTTTCCACCTTTATTGAATTTGTCAGGGAGGTCTCGCCACCATGAATCTCGTCAGACGTTCACTCGAAATATTCACTTTGGGGCTTCGTGTCAAGAAGTAGCAGTTGCTTTAGGGGCGCCATCACGAATTTTCTACAAATCTGAAGACAAGATGAAGATTCACAATGCCCATGCCCGGAAAGCAACCACACGTTCTGATTTCTTTTTCAACTATTTTACTCTAGGACTGGTATGTTTGTTGGCTCTATTTGTTCACTCTCTGATTTATATAAAATTCCTCAGTACTGTAATTTTTCTCTCTTGCTGGAGCAGAGTGGTCAGGATCAATAATGTCTCTCCCTCATTCACTATCATGTACTATTGTCAGCTCTCTAACCAGATCCATTCTACCATGGCTTATACGAGTGGAAAGGATTAATCTTCAAACATGTACTTACTGTATATTAATTGTCTTCACAGGACATCCTCTTTGATGCCAAAACTCAGCGTGCCAAGAAGTTTGTACTGCATACCAACTTCCCTGGCCACTACAACTTCAACATGTACCACCGATGTGAGTTTGAACTCCCTCTTACGGTTCCACGTCAGCCCGAGGATGCGACGCAGCTCATCGACCTGCCCTCGACAATCACGGTACGAAGACTAAAGGATCCTCGACAGTAATTCGATGTGGCTGCCTGAATGAGATTTTTATGTGGATCAGATACATGGAGTCACTGAATGAATGATGCCATATGTAATTGATATAATTAGCATGACCCAAGAGAAGAGTCTGTAGTTTTGTGATAATTTCTTCCTGTAGATTTACCTTTAGAATTATTAGCTTTATTGTGTTCATTAACATATTTTCTTACCATATAACCAAAAGCACTGCATGCCTGTAGATGAAATAGATATTCATAACTTTTAGTTACAACACAGTAAGAAGTAATGACTTGGAACCTGCCCTCCTTCACGTAGCACTGACGTTTCTCAGAGAAAGTGAAGTTACTGAATCACTAAAACTTTCAAGGATAGATTTTATAGAGACACTCTTTAATGGTTGTTTTAACTGATAGATCCACAGTGGTAATGGAACAAATTATATTTTTTATGTAAAGATATTGACTGAAGCATGTGTAAGAGGTTGTGTGTCCTGTGAAGTACTGTGAATGAGCCCAGTAGCATCTTATATGTATTAATGTTATAACTTGAGTTGATTTTAAAATATAATTCTTTTTGTTTTGTTGATTTTCATCTAACTCCCGAACACCTGTTCATCGCCGATCTTCGACTGGGGAATTACGTAACGACCCATCCTTGTGCTCTCGCTTTGTGTTGTGACTATGGTAAGAGGTTTGAAAAAAAGACAGGCCCACTGTGCCTTCCTGGGTTTGAGTTAAAAAAAATTAATCAGTTATTAAAAGAAATTCCTTGTGTAGAATTTTGTCATGTGTGAAGTTGTTGTTTTGAGTAAACTGTTTAGCACATTTAATTTATTGTTCCATATTATGCACTAGGAAAGAAATTACCCAACGACAGAAAATGTTTTCTCAGTACGTTTCTTCTCCAGCCTAATTTTGGTGGCTTGGCTTAACTTGGAATAGGTTTAGTTGGGTTACTGTGTTTGGTGTGGTTGGGTTAGGTAACTTTTGATTGGTCATGCAGTATTATGTTAGGTCAGCTGCTAGGTACAACTTGTAATGTATTTTTTGTAGAGTTGTGTCGTGGGCAGAATGCTTTAAGGTGGTGCTGCATGTACCACCCTTGTGACTAGTGGGGGATGGGATCATATATAAAGATTAAAGTTAGATACGAGAACAATAATGGAGATTTAATAATGTAGTCATAACTGAGCTTTTAAAGACTTGCAAGTATTCCTGTAATTATTATACTGTAGTGTATTAATGCTTGGGTCTTTATAGTTGAAGTGTGATGGGTCTGTTCATGATAGATTATTTAAGTGATTTGATGCTTTGATACAGTATTTTTACATGAAATCTTTGTACAAGTTCTGTTAATGGTCACAATTCCCTGCTTGTGAGACATTAATTCAATCCTGTGGCCAAGCAGGGTTAAATAAGTAGTGTTGTTAGTTCCCTGTTAGTGAGAGCAGAAGGAATTTTAACCCATTTGTCTATCTGTCTATCCCCTTGTCTGTTAGCAATGTATGTTACCAGCAACTACTTCTATCAATTTCATTTACCACAAGTGTGAAGTGCAGAGAAAGTTGATTTGTGTCTTGCAAAAGTTCGCTCATTTTAAAATTGGCGATATGGCTGTTATTTATGAATTGCTGTTTTCATATTAGAGATCTGGATCAAATATTCTTTATGGATTATGGGTTTGCCAATTGGGAGGGGGTGGGATAACCAATAGTTTTTTTTACACCTGTATTTGTATATACTGTACAGTATTGTAAATACCTGTAATATTTTCTGTACCACCCCTGATGAATGGAAGAGGTTATATTGTATACAGTAGTAATGGCAGATGAATTGTGTGTGTTTGAAAGTTGTCATTGTTTGTTGATAGATATTATTTTGTGTAAGTGACTGTAGATATTATGACAAGTTATAATTTGTTTGTTACAGTTGTAGTTGGGCAAGAGAAATATCAAACAGAATTGGTTTAAACTTTGTGGGGACTTTATATAACAGTAACATGAGTGTACTTGCAGAGGGACATTGGTTTACACCTGATCTCTCCCCGTACACCCATCTTCCATTACACCTCAACTTGGTATCAAGATTGAGAAAAAAAATTACATAAAATTTTTAGTCCCTTGATGAATGTCCTTTGAGTACAATACTTGCTTAGATTTTTGAGCTGTTTAATTAATTTTCTGCACTGTGTGGGTGTGTATATTGCTCAATGACATCTTTTAGCTCTATACTCTGTGGATCTAAAGAATATTGAAACCAAGGATTGCAATAACATACATAATTTAATAATACTGTCTAGTCCATTAGATATTTAAGACTTCACTGATTTCTTTCTTTTATTTCTTGCACTCCTTTACATACGCTTACAAAGGTTAAAAAGCTCCTCAGTTGGTCTGTGTGTCTTTCTTTCTACTGTACATAAGTGTTTTGATGAAGCTCTTGGTCTATATATGTTTATCCATGAGCCCAAAAATATGATGTGTGATAGATACACAAGCATGAAGGAAGTTGAAATTTATATACTACATCTCAAATGAATCGCAACTTTGTCTGTCCTCGAGTGTCTCAGGAATAATGGTTTTTAATTCATGGCAGAGGATCATTAATGGTGCTCTCATATCTATTCAGTCATATTTTTGTTGTTTTGGCCTTAACGTGTGATGCTGAAGTGGTGCATGTAGGACGAGGGTACTCTGGGTGGTTTTAATAAAGCTCTATTGGCTATATCTGAAGCTAACTATTGTCGTGTACTTTTGGCTCTTGCTACCTTCCACTGTAGCTAACTGCTTTTTCATGTGAACTTGTGCCTTTCCTTCCCATCTTTCTAACCATGTTATGCAAGAGGCAGGGGCAAGACAGTGCTGCTAATGTTTAACACAGTTTCATGTTTAGGTTTTGACCATCACAAGTACTGGTGACTATAGCACGAGTTTCACAATGGTTTCAGCTCACTCTTGATTTTTATTTTATGGGTAATATGTGAGATGGCTTCATTAGAATGCCAATATGTATTTTTTTATATGAATTATTGATTTGTTTGTTATTTGTATATACAGTAATGAAATCTGATTATAATGTTTACTGAGACTCAAGATATGCCCGAGAGAAAGTATTTGAGAAATTGAAGAAAGTGTGTAGGTTTATCACATTGGGAATAAAACTGGCAAATTTAAGAAGTGAAAAGTTGATTGATATAACCCCCTTCACTACAGAGACACCACTTTTAATATTATATTTGACGAACGCCAGATGATTTTATTCAGTACAGAGGGGAGCCCGTACACAAGGGGGTTAATAAAGCATTTACATGAAAAGTAATAAATAAATTATATGTTATGCATAGGTTAAAAAGGGGGATTATTTTATTGAGGAATGTTTCATGATTAGTACCAGAACTGCACAATACTCTTATAATCCAGAACATTAGTGTGACTTTTCAAGATTTCATACAAGGGTTTGTGTCAGACTGGCTGGCTGGGAGTTTTGAAGAGTTAGGTTTTGTTCACAGTGGTTATACATTCCTTCATTGGTAGGTTAGGGATATAAGACAAAGGAGAGACGATTGAATTTGTAATAGTTTGGATTATTTTCACAAATTATAATCAGATTACTGTACATATTTTCATTCTTATAAACCTTTTCCTATTGTGATGCAAGGTGGCTGGACGGGTGGTGATCCCATGATATGTGCAATCAGCACATGTGGGTTAACCTGCTCCCATGGCAGGATGATAGTCCACTGTAATGATGCACCACCAAAGGCAAGCACACCCTATAATGTACCCTCTTTATTAATGAGTGTATTAGGGTTTGTGTACGAGGAGGAAATATGGTCGTGTACTGTATTCTGATTGGGGATTGAACCTGAGACTATTTTCTTGTGAGGTGAATGATCGCCATTGGGTTATAGAATCTCATTACATAAGAAAATAACTAAAAAAAATTTAATGCTGTTCCCCATAACTTGTAGGATGGCAACCCTCAGGAGAGAAGGGTTAGCTTAGCCCTGGGCATCAACATGGCTAGTGGCCAACCAGTGCACACCACAACAGAATATCACCCCACTATACCTGCTTGGCCATGTGATTGAACTCTTGTCTCAGAGGATGGGAGTCCAAAGTGCTACCAACTGAGCCATGGAGCCCGATAAATTTGCTTAGACAGTATTGATATACATATATATATATATATTGATTAAAAGAACAAGACACAATATTGGTTTGATGTAGATTACTGGAACCTTTGTTAAAGAATTTTAAACATATGAAATATAAATGTTCGATCAACTGGTGTGGTACAGAAAAGTGAAAATTTGTTTTTTACTCACAAATTAATTAGTAGATATATTATAAGTAAATTATTGTGAGGATACCACTATCATCAATTACCATTGTTCTTCATCAGCATAATTGAAATTATAATGAGAATTAGAATGAAATAGTATTTATTTACTAACTTGAGTGAAGTATGGCATGCACTCAGAGGGTTAATTGATGTACTGGACTGTATTATGGCATAATTTTTGAGAGAAAGAGAGGCTTTGAGTGGTAGTAGAAGTTCCTCAAGTTACAGATAAACCTTGTGGACTTTATATGTATGCAAATCGGTTTTCATAAAATTTAATTCACTTCTGTATTTTTCACTTAAGGTTAAATTATCTTATTTTATCTTGTAGTTATATTACTCTATGACATACACTGTATAGTAATATTGAGGTTAGTGTACACTGTGTTCAGCTTGTGTGTACAGTAATACTCTTGAAGTTTTTCCTTACTTAAAAATAAGTTGACCTAACATAATGTAACCTAATATAACTGAACCTAACCTGTAATTCTTACAAATAGGTGCAGAGCGTAACACTGTGGGACACACTAGGGTCGAGGATCAAGCCTCGAGGGCGGCCCGTTGTTCTTCACCGATCCTCTTCTACCAATACATCTAATCCTTTTGGCTCAACTTTTTGCCATGCATATCAAGATATTATTTTTGAGGTATGTTGATGTGTAGCTCAGTGTGTTTATGTATCTAAGTGTAGTTGCAATTTCGTGAATGCAACCTAAAACTTTTGATCTTCATAAAAAAGTAAGCTGCTGCCCTCACAGTAGCATGAAATCAAGCGATTGGAGAGAGTGAGAGTGAGAGGAAGGAACTCGGTGAATTCATGCAATTTTGGTGAAAACTCTCGACTAAGAACTGGTTGTGTAGATTATTTATGAATGCAATGACTTGCCTCCAAATAGAGGAAAGTTAAAGAATGACTAGTGTATGGGAGTCATATACTAACCATGCAGACAAGGTGATAATTGTGATGACCAGAAATAATATAGATTATATAATGAGAGAGATTAGGAAAGGCATGATTCTATAGGCCAGATACCTGTATTTTCAATAAGGAAAATTGTCTGAATTCATGAAAAGTCGAAATGTTGGTATCCATTTCTTTTGAGCATAGATGGAGGCATACCAGAGTAGAAAGTAAGATGTTTTACGTTGGTGTTGTGTTGTGGAGATGTGAGATTTTGGGGTACAGTGTAGTAGTTGTTTAAAGAGGATCAGGTTAGGTTAGTAAGGCTTTCAAAATCTTGGGAAGTACTTGGTATTATTCAAGAATTTCTTCCCATGAATGTTTAGGCACTGGTGTTAAAATATTGCATTTAGGATTGTATTAGTGATAGGTATAGGTGTATAAATGCACAGAGTATTGGTTGATTTTGAAAGCCCAGGATTAGGAAGATAGAATGCTAAGTGACTAGTTTTAATAGAATGGTTTACTGTATATAGCTGATGAATTAAATATGCTGGCCATAGTGGTCAGTATACCGGAAGGCATAATGTATGTGCATCTCTTATGGGGAAATAAACTTTGTAAAGATTCTTAAGTGATGGTAACATGTATTGGAAAAAAATGGGGGAAAGCTAAAAAAAAGAAGGATAGAATAGCAAACAGATTAGATGGAAAAGTAAAGGATGATGAAGTATGGAAAAGATATTATGAAAAGGGTAGGTGAAGTAAAAGATGATAAGCAGAGTTTGAACAAAGAGATCACATGGGAAGATGACACTGCCCACATTTAACCATGATGCTGCACACTTTATTACATTGTGTTCTGTTTATTTTCAGGTGATGGCCAATGGTCATATAGCATCAGTAACTTTATATGAAAGTGAAGAGGCTGCATAGTACTGGTTCTAGGATGGTGGCAGCATCTGTGGGAATGTAGAACCAACCACACGAAACTAGAAGGCACTCTCTGTTATCGTCTGAAGTATCATCCACTCTTTAACTCCTGTACAAGTAAATTATATTCTGATGGAAAAGTTTGACTTGGAAAATGTGTTCTTGTAAGTGACATGTTATGCATCAATAGTCAAGAGAAAATGAGGAGTTAGGTGATGCTTGTTTATGAATAACACCTTTTGTGATGTGAATATGCTGTGTTGGTGTTACAGTGGGCTGTGCTGTGTTAGGATGGTGGGGTAACAGGGAGCTGTGCTATGTGAGGATTGATAGCAGAAGTACTTCAGTTGATAAAAATATGGAGGGTAATGGAGAACTTGCAAAAAGTTTCCCTAACATTCTTTATAGCTGGTCACCAATCCGTATGCTCTCAACATCTGGCCTAAGATAAATTAAGAAATATATGGGATGCCCATTGGTCTTGAGGCTGAAGATAGTGAGAAAAATGTTGAAGTGAAGACTGTATTGTGGTTCTTTAGTGTTTGGTACCTATAGTGTTACCAGAAAATATGTAATGGCAAAATGTTATGTGGCAATTTTTAATTGAAAAAAAAAAAGTTTTTATTTGAAACAATTTTTGTATAGTTTCTCTAGTTAATATAAAGTTCTTGGTACTAAACATTGTACAAGTTCATTATACCTTCTGAGTTTTACAGGATCAGAAGACGAGGCTCATAACTAGCAGAAGCCATATTTTGATGTTGCTAAGCTTATTTTATAGTTATCCATTATCTTAACAGTAAAACAGGCACAAAGACAAGTGTAAATATTTTATTAGTCATCTATGTCAGTCATGCTTGTCAGAGAAAATCTATTTTGCTGTTTTCTATTTTAATTTTCAAGATTATTACCAGTAATTTAATCTTTGGAGTTTTAAGGTTTTTACCAACAAGCAACACGAAAGAGGCCATATTTAATTATAAAAACGAAAGAAACAATTGGAATGATAAGTTTTTACTTTTATGAGATTAAAAAAACAACAAGAAATATGTTAACAAAAGCTCTAGATTACACACACACACAAACAACGATCAGAGGAATTTTCAAAGTAGAAGAGCCTGGAAAGTGGACCAGGTTTAATGTGCCAACCTGGAGCCTGAATTGTTAAAGATTCATACATTAAATTTTCCCCTTAAATGAGACGAGAGGATGCACCTAACTGGCTCTCCAAAGCTTCCGTACAGTACCATATTGGCAGCTAGGATGGAGTCTGCCTTACATAAATACATCCTCTTCCCTTTTTACGGGGGAAATGTGTTGTCTGAATCTTTGAGAGCATTGACCTTGGGAGTATTGCAGTAGTTTTATGTAGACTTCTTCAGTTTTATTGCCACTGATATATTGTTAATTGGTAAGTAATGGGGAAAAAACAATATCACGGTGGTCTATTTAGCTGCATCAAGTCTGTTGTGTAAGCACCAATCCTGACACACTCACTGATGGAATTTTTGTGTAGGATGCAAAGATGCATTACATTACGAGTTCTTGGTTTTGTTATGGTTGGTCTGTCATTGTTTGGAGATGTATAGTTTAGTTGTTTCCTTCAGTTTTTATTAATTTAAAGATAATGAACATGAAAACAAGGTGGAGCAGTTAGGATTTTTTTTGTTTTAACCAGAATAGGAGTTTTGGTAAAGCTCAGAATTTAGAAATTTAAATCATTTAAAGAGTGTTCAGTGATTCAGGTTATGAGAATCATTATGCCAATTATAGGCATTAATGCAATAAGATTGTGAAAGTTATAGAACAAGTTATAGGTGCTGACAATGTGGTACAAGGTGATGAAAGTTTAGGTATGTGTCATTCAAGTTCAAGTGTGGTTTACAGTTCATAGTTTTGGGAAGGATTTAACTTCATAAATCAGGAGACAGAGACTTAATTATTGGCGAAATGGTTAACCTAACCTAACCAAGTACAGTACACAACTATAGTCACATGTAAACAACACCAACACTAGAAGTATTTCATATTACGTAACTGTTTTGTACATTGACTTTTAAGGTCAGTTTTTGTTTCCAACTGCTTACACTTTTATAGATTAATGTAAAATACTGTAATGAGATAACAATATACAGTGACTACAGAAAGGGAACAACAGTTCAAGAATATATAACTTGAACTAACAAGGTCACAGAGAAATTATTTTTAAAGACCCATTGATTGTTAGGTCAGTTGGGTAGTGTTCGCTCAGATAAGGAAATATCATTTTCTCTCTGATGGTGTTCCTCTCCTAAATATAACAAAATTTTAAATATATACAGACTATCTTGTATTGTTGTTGTTAGATAACTACAGTACGTTGTTTTCTTTGTTTACCGTGTGTACGGAGTAAGAATATATTGCAATATTTCATACTGGTAATCTGCATTCAAATTATTACCCGTCAGCTTGGATTAAATCAGAAATCTTCGTGTTCACCGATATACTCGAGCAACACTGCTTTAACAAGTTTATATATATTATGAAAAGTGAAATTATATTCTATATTTTTGTCAGGTAATGAAGCAGTGAGTCATCAGGATGGTAGCTACATTGACATAGGGGTTGAATTAATGTATTTGGCTTCAAGTATTGTAACATGTCTGTCCACTGATTAATTATACCAGGTGTGTGATGGTCATGTGGGATATTTTATTGCATCATTCAGTTGATAAATGTAAGAAAATTGTTGGAGTGAGTTTTTGGACAGGATAGGGGAACTTTTGATGGCACAGGTCAGTCAAGAGAAAAAATTCCCACTTACAATTGTTTGTATCCTTAGACATACAGTTTATGTAAACAAACATAGAACAAATGATTTTGTATTGCCATCATTGGGAGTAACAAGGAGCTTAGTGGAGTAAAGGGGAAATGCCATAATATTTACAGTTTCCATGACATGAAACTAACTTCATATAAGACATGTTGTGGTGTTAATGGATATGCAGATCTAAAATGATGTGTATTTCCTCTTGAAATTTCCTCCGATGTTGGTCACTTAGTTTCCAATCAAGTCTTTCAAATCTTTATTGTTACTTGACATATACATACAGTTCTTATTATAAGTCATAAGGTAAGATGTCATAGACACAATTTTGCCAAAAGTTCAGTTAAACTACTACAGCAGCGGTTAGTGGTGGGATACTTGGATTGAGAGAAAAGTAGTTAAATTAGGTTGCTGGACAAGGTGGGTCCCAGTCTTAACAGGCCTCACTTTAACTTTATCATTAAGAAAGAGGTCCAGGAGGAGTGAAGTTAATTAGGTTTGAGTTCCATTAACAATGGGTTCCTAATAACTGGGGTTCCTTTATGACTGGACCCTGCTCCTTTAGGATAGGTTATGTTGAGACCTATAAGTCTGAAGCCTATTAACCAGTCTCCACAAAGTCTTGAGTAGTCCATCACTAACTGAGAGAGTAAGTGTCCTAGGTAGATAGGTACCTAGGCACATAAGTTTCCAGGCTGTTGGCAGTTTATGACCCAAGTGCTTTAATGAACTAACATTCTAAACTTCCACTTGATAATTGCTTTGTTGCTGGAAATGCAATAAGGCTTTCAATAGTGCTTGACTGACTGAGCTGATTAATATACAAGATGCTGAACAGTTAGGATGTAAGTCTTTAACAGTGTGAGTGATTTAAGTTGTTTATTTACCTCGATTTTAGTTCAATTTAATGTAAATTAATTTTTTTTCATAAAAACAGAACTTTAAAAAATATTGAAAATATATAAGATACTGTATTTCAGTACTGTACCAAAAACATAATGTATGGCAAGTTATACAATGAAAGCAATTGTGTATTCAAATATTTTTTAATTGAATGAAACCTGAGAAAATCTTCATTTTAAGGACATTACTTGTATTTTGTTTGTAGAGCGTATCTTCCTATTATGTTAAGTAGCCAAAATATTGCCAGAATCTCATGATAACAATTTCAAGTACTGCATTGTATTGGTACTTTTGCTTGAACAGTTTATTTATACTCTATCTGTGTATTGCACTAGCTAACTTGCTCAGACAGTGACACAGGAATCTCTATAAACAGTTTGGTATTAGCTACTGCAAATAAATGGGCTTATAGTGATCACTATTGGCTATTTTTTTTATGAATGACTAAAGTAAGTACTGTAGCATAATTGCTTATAATGGCCTTTTTGTGTACATATACAGTAATGTTTTTTTTTTTTTGCACACTGGAGTGAACTGACTCTTCTTAAATGTGATTGACTCCTTGTCGATGAAGTTTACAAATTGCATTTTAAAAAGTACGGCAGACTGTATCAGTAGGCTTACAGTAAAGATTATTTTAATTAAATTAGAAATACGATGTGTAAAGCAAAAGTAGTAGATATAAAGCAAACTATACAGGAGATGAAAAGAAGTATAGTAGCTATACAGTACTAAAGACAAATTATCCTGTGTCCTGCATAAAGTTGAGTTTAAATCTTTTGTTATAAGGTTTCATGGAGAAAATTATTCCAGTTTTTAAATTATTTAAATTGTTGATCAAGTTAGTGTTGAGGATTGTTTTGCTCTTGATAAACTGATGCTTTGAGAGAATTAAATACAGTACAGTGTGTATCATATCTAAGAAAAGGTTTTATTTAATTTCTTTACATGTCTGGGTTATGTTGACTCTGGAGCAAAAGTATCATACAGTGTACATGTATGTTCATTATATAAGGTAATCTATACTTTACCTCAGTAATATGAATAGCATCATCAAAATATCTTGGAACTGTATTGGATACAGTGAAATTTTAAGGAATGCTATATCTTACCCCCATTTAATTTTTGTAGTGTTTTTTTACTATTATGTTGTCCAAGGCTCTGGTGCACTCATGAGCTCACCAGTTATTATTAAAAGCATGCAAGTTACATGGTGAAAATAGCTCTTAAAATCTTTGCCAGTTGCAGTGATTATTCCAGCATTCAATTGCTTAGTTTTCTCGTTTGGCAAATAAACACTAAATTCTTCACTGAGAGTTTAAAATGACAGTGGCAGGTTACATACAGCTGTGGCAGTCATTGGAGCTTTCTTGTACATGTTTCATCTTAATTACCTCACACTTATTATCTTCTGTGAAGTTTAAACAAAAGTTTTTGATATTTGCTCATTATATATAAAATGTGAGTTTACAGATTTATGTCACGTTAATGTCATGAATTTGCGAGGCTACTCATGTTAGTTAGAAGTGTTAAGTACTGTCAGTACCAGTAACAATACATGACAGGTGTTTCTTTGAAGAATAAATAGTGTAGATATTGTGAGTAGAAGATAGTTTCAGTATTTCTTGGGATGAGAATTAACAAAATTAACACGTTGACTTGTTATTGTCACAGTTAATAAAATAAGTCCAAAAATTATTAATTACTTAGTAAAAAGTATTCAGTAAAATTCAGAATCAAAGTGTTATTTTAGCAGTTATGCAAAATATTTATTTTTCTTACAAAAATGTTATTTTGCTACTGTATAATTCCTTGATATACAATTTCCCATTTATGGAAATAGTTACAAAACAAGGTCATCGACTGCACATTCCAGTCGTTGAGTGTGATGGTTTTAAATCAAGTTGTATACAGAAATTTTTAATTTATCTTTTGTATTTGTTTGGAGATTTTTTTTTTTATAAATTTTCTCTCAACTAGAAGTTAAGCTTTTGCTTCTAACTTCACCATGCATGTTGTTGTATCCAGTGGTTTCTTACTTAATCTGACAACTGCACTCACAATGTCCCTGTTTATTATTGTTTCATATTCTTAATATGTTAATGAGTAATACAAATGTAATAATCAATATAAAAAGACATGTATAGATGAATGAGAGAAGTGGCTGGGCACTGAATGGGGAAAGACAGAAGTGAGATATTGAAGAGTTAGCAGAGGAACCCTTGTTAAAGTAGATCTTCTAAGAAGCACTAGGAAAGGGTAGAGGATTAGTGTGAAAATTGGGTAATACAAGATTGCTAGAGGTGTTACTTGCAGGTGATGCATGTCTTTAATGGATGAAAAATTATAATTACAGTATAGAAATGTATCTTGATAGTATTGGCAGTCGGGGTAAGAGGATTGAGTTCCATTTAATGTGGGCACATGTACATAGGTTTATACAGGTAACACTCGCATGAATCACAGAAAAGTAAAGCTTCAGGAGATAAGTTAAACAACTGTGGAAGTTATTGTGTATCACTTGGACAGATAGAAAATGATAACAAGTTAGGACTTCATATACGCCTTGCTGTGAGGAAGTGTATGTACAGTATGTATGTATGTGAGTGAGTGAGTGAGTGAGTGTATTTTCTTACTATTTCAACTCCTTTAAGCGTCTTTCTTTTATAACTTCCACCGAGCATTACTTTCATTTTTCTAGTGGTTTCTGTATTCCTGATCCACCTCCATACAAATTGTGGGAGATAACAAGTTAGTTTATTGACAAGGGGTGGGGAGGGTTGGAGTGAACTGGAATGGCACTTTGCATCAAGGAAAACTAAAGAAATAGATACTGTAAAGTGTTATATGAAATATACAGTCTATTGGCCCTTAGTTTACATTTCAGGGCCAAAGTGGCATAGTGCTCAAGGTCATAATATACAGTATGTACAGTATTGTCCAATATGTATGTATTTTTCAAGTGTTTGCAAAATATACAATACACTTATACATACATAATTTGTGTTTCTATTTTACGGCAGTCTATCTTTGGGTGTGTGTGTGTGTGTGTGCATGTATGTGTGAGAGCTTGAAGTACTGTACGAGTGCTACATACATTCAAGCACCATAAGATAATTGTATAGAAACTATGTACAATTTAAACACCTGATTTATAATGAGGGTGTGTGGTGAGGATTAAGACGAATTGGAAAAAAATACTCAAACGGAGAAAGTTTAAAACCTTGTACAGTAAAACCCACATAATTCATACTGCCCAAATTCAATTTCACTCATAATTTGTAATGTTTTGCTGCAATGAAATATATACAGTATTACAAATTTTTTATTATTTGGTGAAATTTTGGAATATGAGAGACATTTCATAATACAGTATATTATAATATACTGTATACAATATAATATATTCAAATTTTTGTAATGCAGTTATTTGGTAAAATTTCCAATTATGATGCACATGTCGCCATGGGATGTGACCATCAACTTCAGTGTAAACGAGTACTATAGGTTGTACCTCTCTAGTCCGGCATTCTGTGGTCCGGAAACTCCTGTGGTCCGGAACGATTTTAGTTTGTCCAATAGGTAGATAGGCAGCTTTTTTTTTTTTTTTTTTTTTACTTATCTGAATTATTATTATTATTACAGGAGTATTAAATTTTTGCCCCTCAGGCCCCAATGTGGGTCAGTGACCTATGCCCGGGTGGGCTAATCCCCTAAAAAAAAAAAAAAAGCCGCGGGAAATTAAGGTTTGTTTACATCCGGCAGTTCGGCTGCTCTCTCTCTCTCTGCTTGTCTATACAGAGTACAACATTTAACCCTTCAATATATATGAGCAGTAAATAAGTGTTGCTTTCATATTCTTATGTAGAGTAATGACGATATATTTTCACATGTGCGCACTTACATACGAGCAGTCTCACTTTTTTTTTTACCATTAATGGTTAGCTACTTATATTGTTCCATTTATTAACATTAAATAACATTACAGGTACTTCAAGCAACCATATTCATTTTTTACATTAATTTTACTACAGCTAAACTCAGGGTCTTATTTTCTTCAGTTTTATATGTAGAACCAATCAGTCACTGGTTTCGTAAGCTTTAACATAAACAATGCCGGCAGCCGTCTCGTCTCCTCTAATATTCCACGTATTATTAATAAATTGTATTGTTAATTTTGCACACACGTACATTAATTCAATAAAATCAAATTGAGAAACATTAATTAAAATATATATGAACAGTAAATAAGTGTTGCTTTCATATTCTTATGTAAAGTAATGATGATATGTTTTCACGTGTGCGCATGCGCACTTACATATGCGATCTCTCTTTTTTCTTTACCATTATCGTTAGCTACTTCTATTGTTCCATTTATTAACATTAAATAACATTACTTAAAACAACCATATTAATTTTACTACAGCTACAACCAAGGTCTTATTTTCTTCAGTTTTATATGTAGAACCAGTCAGTCACTGGTTTTGTAATCAACGAATACAATGCTGTGTCATTTCCTCATGTGTTTTAATATTCTACGTATTATTAATGAATTGTATTGCTCATTTTGCACACATAAACATTAATTCAATAAAAAAGACATTCAGTAATCAACAATAATGAATCTTTTGTACATAAGAGAAATGACGCTGTTTACACGATTATGCACGTCGTCTGCACGTTGGCAGGCCGTTCAATCCCGTCAAAGTTCAAGTTTCCGCCGTCAAAATTTTTATTTATTTATTTTTTTGTGTTCCAATAAAATACGTTAAGAATTAAAAACTCGCGAAATTTGAGAAGCTACTATACGACATTTAACCCTTCAATATGTCTTCAAAGAGACCATGATGCAGAGAAAGTGGTGCTAGTGCTTCCAGGCATAAGCACAAGTCACTATCCAGGAAAAGGGTGAATTTCCATGGTCCGGCACCGGTCAGGTCCCGAGGTTGCCGGACTAGAGAGGTACAACCTGTATATGTGTCATATGTGTTGGTCAATTGTGGAGTGTACATCTACGGTCTACCACGCAAACTTTTTCCAATTTATTTATTTATCATTGCCCAGTCTTTGAGCCATTATGTCTGATAGCCCTGGACCAAGCACTTAAATCTGATATAGTACTGTACTTAGAAACATTTAAATTTTGATTGGGGCAGATAACATAAAAGTACTGTACCATTGTTTTTGGTTTTTTCCCTCGGGAGGTGTCCCTCATATTTTGTAAAATCTCATCATTCATAAAGGCTAGAGCTCCTATTATTTCGAGTTATTGTATGGGGGTTTTACTGTATTTTCTATTTTAGTTTCAAAACAGGCAGATAGCCTTTAAGGGATCATATCTGAGGCTATGTGTTGGCATGATACTGTTTTTGGAAATACAGTAGTGTGTGTGTGTGTGAATAAGTCATTTATAAAGTCTGTTGAACTAAAAGTCATTGTCATGCCAAATGTGATTCCCTTGATTTTTTTATGTTTAAGTTCTGGGGTTCAGAGTTGCATTACAGCCACTTCTTTGGACC